TAATCACTAAATACAACAAACAATACATTTTGGGGTTAAGTATAACATAAAGCATCAAACCCGTGTACAAAGACAATAGAGTCGCTAACGTCATACTAATTAACTAGAGCAATCATAAAATTGTAACTGTTGCTTTCCCAATCAAATAATTATCATTATTTTTTTACTTATGTTCGAATATGCCATCAAAATATTATTTAGTGCAATTATTCAAATAGCAATTTCTACTTATACAATATTGAAGCAAATGAAGTTGACAATAAAAACAATTTACTTTTTCGTTAATTTAAGAATTTTGTTAAAAAAATTAAATAACCTTCATTTATATTTATTGCTATGTTACGGAAATGTTGAAAAATTGCAGAATCTAAGTTGCAATTGTATATTTGTTGTTTTTTTATAAATTGTTTTGTGTTTTTTTTATATTTATTATAAGTCAAAAACCATAATAACTCTGGAAAAGTTATTGTTGTAGAGAATTATATCGATAGTAAATAAGAAAGTTTAATTTAAATAGCATAATTGGTTAATATTTATCAATTACTTACGTTTTAAAATATAAAAATGGCCGTAAATTCATCAAATATTTGTTAAAAGACTATTTTTTACGATTCAGCTCTTTTTTTTTCACTATTTTTGCAAATTTTTAAAAAAAATTGCAAAAAAAAATGTGTATTCAAAAAATTGAACTTTGATGACTCCTACTGGCGAACCACTACGAGTTACACAAAAAAACACAAAGACAATTTTGAAGAGCGTGAAATTCCCTATAAGGTCCATAAAACCGATTCACAATATTGTAAAGAGCGGGCGAGCATTAGAAATTTGAAAAAAAAAACATTTTTTTACATGCATTTTAAATGGGAAAGCTTTAAATTTAAACTGCAAGTACTTAAAATTGATATTAAGAGCTCTACCTTGGTGAACATTTTTTTTTCTATAGGTAGATTAATATTTTGCTTGAGCGCCGAGAAAAAAAAAGTTTTTTGCGGAAATGAATCACCCTAATATATATATATATATATTTGTAACAAGGCCATATACTCTCCTTTGCCAATAACTCTCAAGGAGAAAAAATTGTTAAATTCTCTTCAGTACATTTTTTTAGAGATTTTTTGCTCAGACAAGTTTTTCGGTATAATTCTGCTCAACATGTTTTAAAGTCAGATTAAATTTATTTAAATTTTTAGATGCTTTTGATATTAAATGAATGTATTGTTAAACAGTATAAAATCTTTCAGTTTTATTAAGCTGCCGTTTGATCAGACCAAAGTCACGATCACAGGGCATACACGAGTGACTGCAGTAAACCATAAACTAATTAGTCCATAGCGGCCATCGTAAGACTGAAACATGTTACGTTTTAGCAGTAAACGATGTGTCCGTCCCTAGATAACGAACTTACAGAAATGTAAAATTCGAGAAAAATGTGACGTCCCCTTTCTGAAATTATTGATTCAGTTATTAAAATTAATGGTTGATTTGAGAATATTTTAAAAATATATTTGTAATAAAGAGCTTAATCAGAAAATTAAAGAATGCGTTGGTCTGCAAAACAGGAATAATACAGCAAAGGTAACCAGAATATAGTTTGGTACGTGAATTGATATTGTTTAATAACTTTTGTCTTATAATATACTATATATCAAATAAAAAATTGTAGCTCATAAGTTTTCAATCCGAAATGAGTTAATTGCTCGATACCTAAGCAGTGTTGGGGGACCCACCCTTCTCCAATTATAATACTTATTTTCTTTAAACCCAAAAGTTGACGTGAGATTTTAAATGACCTCCTTAACATGAGATTTGGTGAGATTTTGCTAGACCCCTTCCCCCCTATTTTTATCTCACGTAATTAATGAATGTCCCCTTTGTATTCTGACAGGGGCGTAGAAATGGTGGTATTGAGGGTTTGAACCCTCCCCCCCAATTTTTTTTCTGTTTACGCGCCTGGCGCCTAACGCAATTATAAATATAAATTTTAAGTTACACTATGGCAATGGCGCCCAGCGGTACACTACCAATTATGTGTCAAATATTGAATTTTGAAAAACTTAAAGTCATGGGATGTTGGCTGTAAACCTGTGATTTCGTGCAGAACCCAAAAAAGCAATCCAATGTTTTGAAATTAAACAATTTCAGCGCCAAATATACAGACCCAGTGCTCTTTAAGTAGATCGAGCAAAACTTAAATTTCAATATTAAGTTTAAACAACTTCTAAATATTGTGGTAGAATAAAATTACCCATGGTAAAACCTCACTGAACACAAATGACAGCAAACATGATAGTTCGGGCAATCTTATTGGTGAACTCTTTATTTAAAGTCTATTTAAAAAAAAGTAGTAATGCTATCGACCTATCCAGCTTATAGGTCAATAGCATTACTAGTTACTTTTTTTAAATAGACGTTAAATGGTGCATTTTAATTTTCTTTGTTTTATAGAAAAACCTTATATAATTAAAAAGTTTAAAGTTAAATTTAAATTAATTAATTAAGTAATTAAGACTTACAATTTTATACAAGCCATTTTTTGATAAATCCATCATTAATATTTTTGAAGACTTTGCTATTAAACCGTTTTCCTAGAAAAATATTGATAAAATATCCAAATAAAAACAAATCCCAACTTACCCGTTGCTTTGTTACATGAAAGGTTATTAACGTTATAACCAGGAAAATAACGTTACTGAATAAATCGTTAATATAATTATACACACCCAGCCATTCTAGGTCGTCAACTTTGATTAATAAATATATATTATTTGTACTTGTGACAAAAGTCGTCATTATAAAGAAGATAAGTGGAAAGGTGTAGTAAAAAGTTAAAACTTGGGAACATTTGCTAAGTTCAACATAAAGTTCCACAAATATCTTGAATTTGTGTTGAATGTCAAACGCGACAATAATGTTTTTAGATAATAAAATGTCTTTTAAAATAACTTCTAATAGACAAAACTTGTCGTAAATTTTAATTATTAAACAGCATAAATATGATAAATTTAGATGGCTTAATATCAATGGAATTTTTAGTTTTAACCAATATAAATAATCCATATTTAGGTAAATTACATTAATAATGTAATCCGATATTAAAAAATATATAACTAAGAGTATTTGGGTAGATATAAAAATGTTTAATTTCAGATTGTTGCCTTTACATGTTTTAATTAATTGCTGTAATTTATTAAAATTATCCAAATGAATTTTATATTTTTTATAATATTTATTAAGAAATGCATAAGATAATATATTTGCATAAAACAAAAATATTATACTGAAAAACTGAATGGTCAACACTATATTTTTTGTCGCCGAATTTGAATTAACATGTACCGGAATGGAGGCAAAAATCGTGTAGAGGATTATTATAAGTGTAGTGTATACTTTATACCATCTGGATTTACTTGATAACTAATGTCCAATTCCAAAAATTATTAAAAAAAATTTAAGGATATTATTATCCGCACTTTTAAACCTGTCTAACATGTTGTACGATCTAACATATAATAATAATTATGGTTTATAGGTACGAAGTTAAAGCATTATTAATAGATTTAACTTTATCAATTTAATATTATATTAACGATAATGATAATAGTTAATATAGTTTGGTACGTAAATTGCTATATTTGAAGTTGTTAAATAATGCTAAACTATCTGTAATTAAATGACATCATTATAATATGAGTTATAAAATTTTAATATATTTTTCTTTCGAGCGTACAGTTATTTTTTAGATTATAATCTTATATTTATATATCTTGTATATTTTTATATATCTTATATTATAATTCTAAGACCCATGAGTGTATATAGAAAGACTTCATAATAATACTAGTTTAAAAGTCAACCTATTATTAAACTCCGTACAGAAATAGAGCCAAAATATTATTATGTCATTTAAACCCAACCTAAAAGTGATGTGAAAGAATCTTAACAAATTATTTAATTAAATGCTTAAAAAATAGTACATAAAACTTGGCGAAAGCTTATTAATTGTCTCGTACACAGTCTAATTTAATTGAATCGTTAAAATATAAAAGAGTAGTGGTTTAAAAACTATATATTGAGTAAATTGATAAAGAACTAGATATTTAATTTAAAACCATTTTACATACAACTATATATGGGACTGTACCTATCCTTTTTTGTAACAAATATTTTTAAATCAATAAAACGTGAACATATGAAATTCGATTCTTTTATATGCAAAAAAATATGCATGCATATATATTTATATGATCCAACTTAACTTAGTGTAAAATTTAACTTGAATAGGTTTTGATACGCCCTAGACCAGCGCTATAAATATAAAAAGTATACAAAATATTTTACTCGTAACTGTGATCCCGGCGCATTCGCCATTTTTAAAAAATATTTCTTTGTATGTAATGTAATAAACTTACAGGCAAAATAATCAATCCACACAAATTTTCGATGAATTTCAATCGCAAATAACTTTTTTATTTGATGTCGGATTTAAACGAATATTAAAGAATATTGTGGATAAATTAGTGGACAATCGCTCACATTTTAAAAAAACTACTAAAAAATAGACGTTCGTTTATAATATACAGGTTTAAACAAAAAGATGTTTTTTACCATAAGTTTAAGACACTCTGTAAAGTGGCAAAACCGTATATTGTTCTAAATTAAGTTTTATTTATCAAGTCACATCTATTCTTAACAGTTTTGTTTTTGGTTCACCTCGATATATTTATTTTTGTGGAAAATATGGATTTTTATAAAAACACATTGCAATTTCCAAAATTTTTCTGTATGAAGAACTAAGGTTGCTATGGTCCATCCATAGGCTATGGAGAATGACAGTGACAGTTTTGTTGAATCATCCCATACTTGGACATGTCATACACGGCTTTCAAAAGCTATCAAATTGTTTTTTGCAAACTAATGTTTAAATTTTGACTCAAAAATTTTTTACTTAAAAAAATGGATATGTCCGACTGATGTTGCCAGAGCCATTAATTTAATCCAGGATGGACGGTCACAGTATTACTTGGCAAACGTCACAAGAAGTAAAGTACAAAGGGCAACATCAGTCGGAGACATTTTTAAAAGTAAGAAGACACCTTAAAATTAACACATTAATTTACAAAAAACAATTTGATAGCTTTAGAAAGCTGTATATGATATGTTCAAGTATAGGATAATTCAAAAAAACTGTCACTGTCATCCTCCATAGGCTATGGATGGACCATAGCAACCTTAGTTCTTCATACAAGAAAAATACTGGAAAATGCAATGTTTTTTTTTTTTAATCCATATTTTCCACAAAAATAAATATATCAAGGTGAACCAAAAACAAAACTCCCAAGCAACACAAAATCGTCTAATAGACGTTTAATATTTGTCTATACCAATGGTATATCATTGGTTTATTGTCTACCTCTAATATAGGTTAAAATGTCCGCCTAATATAGGTTGATGCATATTATAGCAATATCCATATTTTAAACGTCTACACTATACGTTTATTTATAATACAAACTTGACAATTAAATATCTGTTTTTTAAAAAGGTTACATTTTAATATATAATATACCAAAATTGAACGTTTATCAAAAACTTCTAAAAGCCATAAACGATATACGTTAATATTGAATATTATTTTAAGGTGAAATTTTTTACATAACATTATTGTTTAGACCGCGGCTCTGCTAATCTGGAAAAATAAAATAAAAACAAAAGTTTTTATATTTGAATGATTTTTTAATATTTTTAGCTCTAATAATTCCATTTTCATTAAATTAAAATCGTAAAACCATGAATGGTTTTACGGTTATCAATGCATTGATAATTAAAATTACAGTAAAATTTACTATATTTATTCTTTGCATTTAATTTAAGTGCGGCATATTCTTTCCAGATTTGCAAAAACTTACCTAAGTGTAGTAGAAACTCCAAGGTAAAAAAAAAGTTTAAAAATAAACTGAGCAGATGACAAACGAATATATTTTCATAAATAATTATTTATTATTTTAAAATAACTAATTAAACAAATGTTAAGTTTTAACATCATTGAATCATTGCTTTGATAATTTGAGCCAATCTTGACAGGCTTGTCCTATGGCTTTGTCAGTTATTTCCCTGGACTTGATCTTTTCCTTGAAAGGACAGTTTCACTGCCTCTGTAAAACAGTAAAAAACAATGTTACTAAAAAGTGCGACTGTTTACGTATATTTTAAATAACTTTTAACTTTTTATTCTGTGGTAAAATAAAAATATAATAAATAATAAAAAAACACAATTCGTGTTTTTAAGTGGTTATAATGTACGTTTATAAATAGTATACCATAAACCAATAATAGATCTTTAAAAAAATAAAAAATATTGATTATTTTAAAAATTCTAAAGTGATGTTAACCTAATCCAAAAATAAACCATCTAATTTAATGCAAAACGAATATGTCGCATGGTTAAAACTTCTGCAAAGGTTACGGATTTTTGCCGGCTTCGTCAAATAAAAACACCAATTATTAGTTATTTGGTGCAAATTAAGTAATCTGAAATTTCAATTAAAGTAGTTATACTTACTTTATTAGCTGTATTCCCACCAAACAATACAATAAATTAATCGCTATCCACTCACAGTAAACAGTAAACATAACTTATACGGCAGCCATTATCAACACAGGACACATGTGACCGGTAACGGCAAAACGAAGCGTCTAGAAGGAATGATCACGTGACACGCGCCTATTGGTTTAAACAATCGTCTTAGGTACGAGTAATACCGAAACAGTGCGAACCATGAACATATGTATACAAGTATTATGAAAACTGAAGTTCAGTTACTGAACCACGTAGAAAATTATACCTTTAAGTAACGTTTATTTTAACAAATTTGTTAGCGGTGATAAATACATTTAAATATTACTTGGCTTACAACAACAACAAAATTTATAGACGTAGATTTCTCGTATTTTTAGACGTTGAGCTTACATAAAAGTATATATATAAAAAAAACGTTTACAAAACACTTGAATGTAAACAAATTTGATAAGGGTAAATAATTCCAAATTCTTATTTATAAATAAACATTATTTATAGTTGTTTTTATAATATATATATAGATTGGGTGATTAATATAAATTTATATATTAAATTGATAATTTTATGATTTTAAAATAGTATATCAAGTACGTAGAATATACGACTGAAATATGTACGTTTATAAAAAACGCTTAATATATGTTAAATAATTATACCAAAACCAAAAATATACGATTAAATGGTTTATTATACGTTTATTAAACGATTATGCAAATGAGTGTGTTGCTTGGGCTGTTAAAAATAGATGTGACTTGATAATTAATTTAGAACAATATACGGTTTTGCCACTCTACAGAGTGTCTTAAACTTATGGTAAAAAACATATTTTTGGTTAAACCTGTTTATTATAAACGTACGTCTATTTTTTAGTAATTTTTAAAATGTGAGCGATTCTCCACTAATGTATCTACAATATTCTTTAATATTTGTTTAAATCCGAAATCAAACAAAAAAGTTATTTGCAAATGAAATTCATCGAAAATTTGTGTGGATCGATTATTTTGCCTGCGAGTGTATATTAAATATGTAATTATATTTTGCAGTTGTGGTCATTATTTTAACCCTTTTATGGGGATTGCTTCTTTGCGGTGCCCCCTGCGGCTGTGGACTAAACTCCCGTACCATCCCGCTTCTTTTATCGGGGATATTCTTGTGCGCCATAGCCGTACTTCCGGTGTGGATTTTGGGAACCGCAGCGTTTCTTTTGGGTGGACACGGGGAAAATCTTGTATGTAGGCCTTTGTACGACCAGCATCAATATAATATATTGGGCAAGTTGCTGGATGCCAATGGTATGCTATATCCTGAAGGAGGATTTTTTGAAGATTTTAAGGGAAATGAGTCGCTCAAAGTAAAAAATGTCCTAAGGTAAGTATTTATAATACTAAATGTTGTTCTGTTATAACACAAAATAAGATTAAATAGGTGAATATTTGTACTAAAAGAATAAATTTCTTATAATAAAGTAAATAGAATAATTATTATTTTATTTTATTTTTAATAAAAATATGACAAATTTCAATAAAGTTAACATTTAAATAAAAATTAAAAAATATTTGTAAAAAAAAATTTTAATTATACCAAAAAACTAATATTTCTCTTTTTAAGTCCAATATTTGTGTGAATTTATTATAAAATTAATTTAAAATATCCTAACATTAAAAAGTAGAGTAAAAATAATCAATTAGAAATTTCTTTTAGCGAAGCTTTGCGTATACGCTAGTGATTCCCACGAGACCAACGAGACGAGACTTTCATAAAGTCTTATCTCGTCTCGCCGATAAAATAAAAAGTCTTGTATCAAGTCTCGTCTCGTCTCGTCTCGTTTCTCGTACGAGAGTCTCGCCAAAGTATCGAAATCCCTTCATGGATAATTTTGTTCCAGTCCAGTAAGGGATGCAGTAGGTAAGTATCCCGGATACTTACCTACTTGCTATAGGTGGGAAGAAAAAATTACAACTGTAGATAACATCATCTATTTAAACAAAACGAAAACTTAAAATTTTGTAAATAATTGGAAACAAATCTACTAACAGCTTTCTGGGTGTCAAATATTTTTGTTTTTTACACCGTCGTTTAGGCATAACAAACATCGTGCAGATTCATTATTAAGGCGATTTCGATATTTTCTTATAGTTAACGCAGCACGTGAGAACAATCTTTCCGCCGACTGAAGTAGATATAGTCATGTCCATATTAAATGGAAATTGACTATATCTCAAGAAGTGTTCTACTTTTTTAACTTTTGACGACATTTTGGGATACCATGGTATTCCATGGTTAACCATGATACAAGTGAAAAAGCAGCCACTTATAACTATTAAATTAGTAATTTTTGACTAATTCATTTTTAGAGAGGACATTTAGAAACTAAAGGCACAAAATTAAATCTATTGGAGTCTTTAGAAATTAGCAAACTTAAAAATACTGATAATATTCTCGATGATCAAATGGAAACAAATAATTCACCACTGTTAAACCTATTTTAATTAAGATACAATAGGATTATATAAATAAAAAAATCACATATTTAAATTATGCCCCTTAAATAAAATTGTTAACAATAAATAGATTAGGTATTTCCCATAAGGAATTTCTGAATACTTTTTTGAATACTCTGTAATACAGGTAGATTTAAAATAAAAATTATTACATAGAAAACCAATATTTTTGTTATATAAATTTTGCTATTAGTATTAGTTTTAATACATTCTGAAAAAGCTACTGTGTAGCAAAACAATTATCAACATTCAAATAAATTACGTGAAACTTTCAAAACATAGTTTTATATTTACATAGTTAATATGGAGTTTCATGAAGAAAAGGTCGAAACAATTAATAATTGTCTTTATTTACTTACACATACATATCGCTAAATATATGATAGTCAAAGTGGGGTGAAAGGCGGATCCGGCGGCCTGACAAAAGAAAATGACCGTCAAACGTTTGTTTAATAACACCGAGTGACGATCAAGTCCGTGCGCAGAAATACTTTCCTGCGAGACTCTCGCACGAGACTTCAGAAGTCTCGCTCGAGACTCGAGACGAAACCAATAAAAGTATCGTCTCGTCCGGTCCAAATATCGTCTCGAGTCTTGCTCGAAAACGAGACGAGACCATGCGAGACCCTCGAAAACGAGACTCTCGTGGGAATCACTAGTATACGCCACGCGTATGACTACCCTTGTGATTTTTTTCCTTACATATTAATTCGTGTCTGATTTTTAATTTTTTAAAATCAGTGGTTTACCCCTTGATATGAGTACTATTTTACAATTATAATTATTACTTAAAATATTACATTTATGTTCAAATTTATTTAACCTTTCTCGTACTAAAGGTACATTTTGTACCCCAAGCCTATATAATTACAGAGTCATAGTTCATGGCACATTTTCCTAATTTTTTTTCTAAGGGCATTTTTATGTGGTGTTAATCGAGGGGTAAACCACTGATTTTTTTAAGTTAAAAAACGCTTACGAATTAACGGCTAAGGATAACAATAACAAGGGTAGTCATGTACAACGCGTCGCTAAGCACTGATTAAGCACCGATTAAGCAAGTTTTCCTTATTGATAACGACTGATAAGGAAAAAAATCTCAACACAACGTCCATTACCATTGAACGTTGGTCTCTAAGATTTTTAAGTGGTTTACCCCTCGGTGTTAATTAAAGCTGTTATTTTTATTTAAATGTGCTCCTGTTCATTTTATATTATTATATTATTTGGGCGATGTAATTTTTGCCCAAGAAAGATCGACAAAAAATGGCTCAACTTTTATCAAAATTTAAAATTTGAAACCTGGTGCACATGACGATGGAAAGGTCAAAAGCAGTAGTAATGACGGAGGAGGGAAAATCAGAAGAGTTTAAATTTAATAAAGGAGTAAGGCCTCCTGGTCTCCTGACTCTTTCGGCAACGTTATTTATTCTGGTAATGGAAGGTGATATGAGAGCGCGCTCGAGCGGCGGGAATAAAAGGTCTAATAATTCAGAAAGCTGTACAAGTAATTGCGTATGCGGATGATATCGCAATAATAGCGAGGGATGATACCGCACTAAAAGAGGCAAAAATAAAAATATACAAGGCAGCCATAAGACCGGTAGTAACATATGCGGCAGAAACAATGACAATAACAAGCAAGGAGGAAGAGAAGTTAAGATGTTTTGAGTGAAAAATTATGAGAAAAATACATGGGCCAGTTAAAATAGGAGAAGGAGAGTTTTGGAGATTAATGAATCATAAAATAGATGAAAAAATGAACAACGAAAATATAGGCAATTAAAGCACAGAGAATCAGATGGTTTGGACAAGTGAAAAGAAAAGAAAGTAGCGAAGTGGTAAGAAAAATAACAGAATGGAGACCAGTAGAAGATAGAGCGAAAGGGAGGAGAAAAATAAGATGGGAGGATCAAATACATAGTGATCTAAAAAATATGAAAATAAGCAGAAGAAAAGAAAAAATCAGAAATAGAGAGGAATGGAGAAGTATTGTCGAGAAGGCTAAAACACATAGTAAACTGTAGGAGGTGAAGAGAGAACATGGACTGATCCACCATAGAAAAGAATCCTTTTGGTCTTAGAAGAGCAGCTTCAACTCTACAAGGAGTGTATAGCTATACATATATATAGCTATACATATATATTAGGGTGCTTTTTTTCACGACTATTTTATTTTTTCGCTCCCAACTCAAAATCTTGTTGAAAATGTAAAAAAAAAATTGAGCCCTTAATATTAACTCTACCAAAGCGTATAAAGATTTCCCATTTAAAATACACGTAAACTTTGATTTTTTTTTCAATTTCTATATCTTAGCCGCATTTTATGCTATTGGATTGTTTCAAAAAATGATTTACACTTAATCAAAAGTTCTACAAAAATGCTTTATGTGCAATAGCTGTAATCTGCACCTGTAGGATGAAGATATTTTAAAAGTGACTGAATTCTTTTAAAAAATGTAAAGTACAAACTTGTATAAAATTTATTTTTCTTTAAAAAAGGTTTTATCAGTTGAATCGCTAAGATTGATATTTGTTGAGATATAAAGCGTTTACATTGACATTTTATGAAATTTTTAGGATTTTCGTATCAAACTTTTTATAAATGATGATTTTCAATTGTTTATCAGTACAATTTCATGTAATTACGTTTTATCTACAGTCGGGTGATTAGAGAAAAATATATATTTAAAACAATCAAGCATAATTATTAATAAAATAACATGTTGTAAGTAATACACCTCGTTATATCAATTTTTAGGTTAGATATATCTTTTCTCTTTAAAGTTATGTTATTAATAATTATGCTTGATTGTTTGAGTTATTTATTTTTCTCCAATCACCCGACTGTAGAAAAAAAGTAATTAGATGAAATTGTACTAATACACAATTGAAAATCATCATTAATAAAAGTTTGGTACAAAAATCCTAAAAATTTCATAAATTGTCAATGTAAACGCTTTATATCTCAACAAATATCAATCTTAGCGATTCAACTGATAGGACCTTTTTTAAAGATAATTAAATTTTCTTCAAGTTTTTTTTTTAATATTTTCAAAGAATCTAGTCACTTTTGAAATATCTTCAAAAATATAATAATTTTTCACTAAAATAAGATTTTGTGACTCGTACCATCCTACAGGTGCAGATTACAGCTATGGCACATAAAGCATTTTTGTAGAACTTTTGATTACGACTAAATCCTTTTCTGAAACAATATTGTAAAACAGTATTTTAAATGGGAAATCTTTATACGCTCTGGTCGAGTACTTTAAGTTAATATTAAGGACTCAAATTTTCAGGGAATTTTTTTATATATATGTTTATATATATATATGGGCGTTTCTCTGTAAACTGGGCAACTTGAAGTAAGAAATTGTCTAGGCAAGTTTTTTTGTTATATTTTTGTTGTATTTAATAAATGTTATTCGAGGAATAAATATCGGTCTATTTATTAGTATACGGCAGATGAACCAAAAATATTCCTATTACTTTGGAAAACATTGAGCATTTTCTGAAAAATCTATACAGGGGACTGTTTATAAAATCCGGAGACAAAGTTTAGATGACTTTTTTAGAATTACAAAATAATAATTATAAAAAATAAATAAGTCACAGTAACAAGCAAACAATATTGGTTGAATAATTAAACAATTAGGTTGATTCCAATAGTTACTGTCTTTAATTAATTTAGTCTGAAGTGACCATTTTGCTTTGGTGACACGTCAGGGGACTGGTTTTTAAGGACTATAAAAACGATTTTGATTAGAGATTCAAAATTTCCGGAAAAATTGAGTGTCGGAAAAAAACCCTGTTTTTTTCCTGGAAAAATTGGAAAAAAACGGAAACTTTGGGAAAAATTGATATTTTCTTAAAAAAAATGTTTAAAAATATTTTAAATATTTTTTATAATATTTATAAATTATTTTGATTAAAAAATTCCCGTTATGTATAGGCGCCCCCCGGGGGAGGCACCTGTAGGGTCATGCTTTTTAACGATGAAAAAAGCCTAGTTGCCTAGTTGCCGACGGCCGTAATTAAAATCATTGTTGTATAAGTAACTATTCAAAATACACTAACCCAGGAGTTAGTAGCATATTCATATGATTTTAACATCACAATGGCAACCCTGCCCGATCAGCTGATTAGGAACCGACACATCGCGATGCATCGGACCGATCGTCGTTCGTTTACAGCGTTACGGTAAGCATAAAAACATTTATCTTGTATTAAATATACTTTTTTTATTGTACCCACAATACAAAATGGTATGCTTTTTGCTCAAAGCACAGACTTCTGTACTACTGCAAAAATATATTTATTTAATTTCCACTCATTAATACATAAATTATATTAAATCAAAATACTTTTTAGATTTTCGTTTTTTTTTAATATTTTTTTCAATTTTTCCGTTTTTCAATTTTTCAAAGGCTCGGGAAAAAAACGGAAAAAAACACTGTTTTTTTCCAATTTTTCCTGTTTTTTTCCGAACCTTTAAATCTCTAATTTTGATACATTAAAGTTTATTTTATTGGATTTTGAACGTCGAGCATAGGTAGATTAGGTGATTATCTTTTGAAGTTATCTACGAAATATTTATGATCTGTTATTTTTCTAAACAATATTAGCTTAAAACAATGAGTTGCCCAGTTTACAGAGAAACGCCCATATATGTATATATATATATCAGGGCTCCCAGCAGGTAGTTTTTTTAAAGACTTGTCTATATTTTTGTCTTAAGTCTATAATAGTCTATTTTTTTACCTAAAGTCTATAAAGTCTATATTTTCTGTTAAAATCAACTATTAAAAAATATTTTTTTAAATATAAATATTCACAGTTTTATAAATATCGAAACCACAGTAAACCAAGTGAAACATTCGAAAACTTCGCAGTTTACATTTAAAGTTCCCGCCGTCCAGACCCGAACCGCCCGCCAAAATTATTGCTGAATTGTTTCTGGTTTGGTCTAGGTTAACACTACCTATACAGGGTGTCCGGGAAAATGTTGGAAATATCTCGGATTCAGATAGAACATGAAAAAATAAGATGACACATTCCTATAAAAAAATTTCCTACTGGCCCTCCTTACGGAGACATGGGCCCCGAAAGGACGCCCCTGCAAATTGGTTTTCCTTGAATAACTTTTAAAGAACTGAATATAATTTAATAAAAATTTAATATGAGGGACCTCTTAAAGTAGTGTTCTTGAAACATGTTTTGCTTTTTTTGTTTACCAGGGGCGGACTAAACTAATGCTTAAATTTTGAACACCCCGTATGTAAAGAATTAAAAAAACTAAATTTGCGTAGCGAGAACCTTAAACTAAAATAAAGGTACTCTTGTTTATTGTCAATAAAATGAACTGTTTTCGAGAAAAAGAATAATAAACGAATTATTGTTTTATTTTTAATGAAAAAGACCATAAAGAACGTATTGTTGCAAACAAATAAAAATGTTAAAATATGTATGGCTCAACTAATGTTTGAAGGGGTGAACCATCCCAAAAAAGAAGAGGGGAAGGTAACTTACAAGATTAGTCGTCTTGCCCAAGATTTAGAAAAACGTGAGAAGATCTGCAAATACCCCCCCCCTGATAAACAATCCATGGGTTATTACGATCCTAATTGTAAAATAAATGTATTCAAAAAGCCATGTAAATAAAACTAACATTTAAATTTAGCGCAACAGAAATGCGAATGACGTACGAAGTAGCGTGCCATTGGTTAGAAAGAATCTCGTGTTTAGGTGGGAAAAGGTAGGGGGAAGAATGCGAGCAGTCAAACGGGCAGGGTACGAACGGGGAGCATTGGAGCAGAGCCGAGCAGCGACAAGGGTTTTAAAAATTGTGTGTGCAGAAAAGTGTTGGAATTAGTAGGTTTGTACATTTTAAATAACTAAATTATTGTAGTATAAATATTCCCGAGCATTTTGATATAATTAGTTTACACAAATACCTTGTGTAAAGATAAATATTCGATCAATTGACTTGGCGTCATCGTTCGATCTCTTCAGCCGTAATGGCTGCCGTTTAAAAACAAACTACGCTGTAAAATTTACGTTTAAAATTATGTATTTCGTATTATAATTTATATTATAAGTTATAAACAATTGGTACGTGTATTTTATCTAATAAAAGGCAGGGATTTTTAACGAGTAATTATCAAATTAAAAGAGCAGGAATTTACGGGTATTTTATCCAATTAAAATAGGCAGGACCGTATTCGATTTTATTTAGCTAAATGTCAGGCCTGTACTTAAGATTATTTAATTAAATATTTCACAAAAGGGATTTAACATAAACGCTGTGTAAATTAAGTGTATTTAATATCGCTTTTCTTGAATACGGGATTTATAAAATTGTACTCGCAGATTTTCAGTTATGTCGCGTAACTAGTAATTTTACCAGTCATTTAAATATTTGGTATTACATT